CAGTTATGCAGTTTTTGATAAGCAGTTTATGTTACAGCAGAATCAAGACAATGTGTCAGGGAACAGTTCCAGTTCAGATGCAGTGCAGATGGATTTAGAAAACCAATTAATTGCTTCTGAGAGAGGTGAAAGTTCAAATCCAACACCTGATGATTCTATTCCAGATGATCTGCAAAATTACAATCTAGCCAGAGATAGACCGAGACGCACCGATATAAGACCTCCTAGCAGATTGGGTTATAAAGAGTTAGTCTCATGTGCACTTCTCATCAGCAGCGATGATCCAACCACTTTTTAAGGAGCTATCACTAGCCAGGAGAAAGAGAAATGGATGGATGCAATGGTTTAGGAGATGGAGACTATGCAGAAAAATCGCACATGGGAGCTAGTTCAGCTTCATAAGGGAAAAAAGACTATTGAGTGCAAATGGATGTACAAAATAAAACTAGCAGTATAAGATAAAGAAGGGAAAAAGTTCAAGGCTTAACTGGTAGCAAAGTGATTTTCACAGCAGATGAGAATAGATTATGATGAAATCTTTTCTCCTGTGATCAGACATATTTCAATCAGGGTGGTGTTTGCATTAGTAGTTATTTGAGATTTGCATTTGTAGCAGATGAATGTTAAAACTATTTTCTTGCATGGTCATTTGAAGGAGCAAATTTACATGAAGCAGCCAGAAGGGTTCACTTAATATGGACAGAAGCATCTAGTTTGCAGATTAAAGAAATTGCGGTATGAGTTGAAACAGTCTCCAAGACAATGCTACAAACGGTTTGACTCCTACGCGATTCAAATTGACTACAAGCGATGTGATTATGATTGTTGTGTTCATGTGAAGAGTCTTGATGATCGTTATATTATTTTTCTGTTACTGCATGTTGATGATATATTGATTGTTGCAAATAATATGAATGATGTCTGCGGTTTGAAAGCTTTATTGAGTCAAAAATTTGACATGAAAGACTTGGGTCCTCTAAAGAATATTCTTGAAATGGAGATCATCGAGATAGAGGCTCAAGACGATTATGTTTATCTCAACGAGGCTATGTTGAGAAAGTGTTGGACGGGTTTGAGATGATCAAAGTAAAGTCTGTGAGCACTCCATTGATAAATCATTTTAAGCTTTCTTCGGAACAGTGTCATAAGACATATACATAAATTGAAGACATGACAAAGGTTCTATAAGTCAGTGCAATTGGCTGCTTGATGTATGCAATGATATGCACTCATCTAGATTTGACTCATGCTGTTAGTCAAGTCTGCAAATACATGTCTAAACCTAGAAGACGACATTAGAAAGCAGTCAAGTGAATTTTCAGGTATTTGAATGGTACTACAAGACATGGAATTATTTTTGGCAATCAACAGAATAATCCTTCAATTGTGGGGTACATTGATTCAGACTATGCAGGTGATTTGGATGACAGAAGGTCTACAACTGGGTATATTTTACTCTTGGTGGATGGTCTATATGTTGGAAATCAATAATTCAGTCTATTGTGACATTATCTACAACTGAAGCCGAGCACATAGCAGTAGCTGAAGTTGCAAAAGAAGTCTTATGTTTTTCTGGGCTAGTAAAGAAATTGGGCGTTGAGCAATGTGGAGTTCAATCGCATTGTGACAGTCAGAGTGTCATTTATCTGACTAAGAACCATGTGCACCATGCGAGAACCAAGCATATTGATGTCAGATATCACAAGATCGAGAATTGATTGCTTCTGGTGAGATACTATTGCAGAAGGTTCATATTGATCAAAATGCAGTTGATATGTCAACAAGTTCTTGCATTGCTTGGACTTGTTGAATGTTTGCAGTTGCTAGAGAAGCATGGTGGCCCAACCCACGGTGGTGCAAGTGTAACTCCCAGGTATTTTTCTTCTAAGGGGCTGGATATTCGCCAATGTAGAGATTTGTTATGGTATGACTCATATACCATATCGGGACAGATGCTGGATCGAAGCGGAGCGGAGCTGAGCGGAAGAATCTGTCCAAATTGGGAAGTTACGTGGGTTGGGGTGCGGGGGCAAAGCCCCGCGGTATGGTACAGGGGTATTGTTGTAATTACATGTTGTGCCTAGGTTTACTCCTGGGGTTATAAATAGGCATGTTAGTAACCCCAGGAGGTATCCCTGATTGCTGTAAACATCTTTTCTGAATATTGAAAGGAACTCGCCGCTCTGCTCCCGAGGACGTAGGCATCTTTGCCGAACCTCGTTAAATCTCTGTGTTCTTCTGGATTTGTGTCGGTACTGTTTTTCTTCGCCCTAATTTTATCAACACTTATCATTCATGAATGAATTTATTTCAGGTATGGTGAGCGGGCTCAATGCTTTGTTCAATAGACGTGTTTTAGCGACAGTCTCACTTCTGATGAAATGTTATAGTTGCTTTGTATGTCATCATTTTCTCTGAAAATGATTGAAGTCTTCGAACACAATGTGTTCTAATTGGTGTCTTCTAATATCTTAAATTCATCAAATTTTTTTGAGTTCAAGAATTTTATGTTCAGTTCATTCTCTTAAAATTATATGAAAAATTACTAATATCAATTTATAACATATTGAATATATTTATTTATGTATATATTTTAATGTAATTTCATTTTGAAATTTTATATAAATAAATGACAACCTAAATATTGAATATTGAAGTTCAAAAAACTTATGTTATATATAACAAATAATCATGAAAAATAATATCCCTGCATTTGGTCTATAGACAGACAAACATAAACAGATTTTACTTTACTTGCATTAACCAAACAGAAAAAGAAGAATTTTCATATTTATTTTACAGACAACCAAATAATATTCATAATATAGTGCTTGCAAAATATACAACATTCCTTCTACACAACATCCACTTTTCAGCCGACCAAACAGCCCCTAAATAAATCTAATGAGAAATATATCAGAATGCATCAGTGCTGGGTCAAACTACAATCTAGAAATAATAACATTTCTACAATGAATCAGATAGCCCAAATTCAAAATTATAACCCAACTCCAACATCATCAACTCTGTCAAACAATTACATAAAACATGACACAATTCCTAAACAAAATAAGAACTCTTTAGGAAGAAAATTGCGCACAAAAAATCCACTCTGAAGCTTCACTCGACTTATTTCCCAGATATAGACATAGAGCGCCTGGCTTTGCCAGGTTTGATGGTTTCCACAGCCTTGCTCTTGGGTAATGATCCCGACCCCTTGCTCAATCGTTTTGTCAACTTCCTTTTAGAGCTCCCTGCTGCATCTCCAAGGGCAGCCTTCGTTACTCTGTCACTCACAACCTCCCTCACTTTGTCGGGCTTAATATGTTGTTTGTTCAGATAAGTAACATGGGGCAGAAGGTTCAAAACTGCCTTCCTGAGCTGATCATCTCCAATGTTGGACAGTATTGGATTGCCCAAGAGGTTTAGGGCCAGAAGTGAGTTGTAGTTTGCAACAAGCTGGCCTAATCCCTTGGCTGTTATTATCTTGTTGAAGCTGAGATCCAAAACTGTGAGTTTTAAGAGCCGGTGAAGGCCTTCAACATTACTGATCTTGTTACCGGCAAGGTATAACTCTTTGATCAGAGTGTTACTCGATAATCCTGAAAATTTTGCAAAAATGAGTGAAATGAGATAGCTGACATCAAATTTTACAAACAGAGATTGAAAACAATTATTGGAATTGGAGCATATATGCTCACCATGACTAATTTTTGCGATCCGGTTATAGCTTAGATTGAGGACCCTCAATCTCTCGAGGTCTCGGAGCCCATCAATTGTTGATATTTTGTTTCGAGACAAATCGAGAGTATGAAGAGTTTTAGGAAGAGATCCTGGAGTTATGGTAACTGCAAAGACAAAAAAGTTTGAATATTTGTTTCAAGCATAAGAAATTGGTAAGAATTTAATGTCATACCTATGCAGTTGCCGGATAAATTGACACATCGAAGGCAGGCAAAGGCTGAAATTGATGGAATAGATTTCAGTCCAACGCCAGGGAAGTCGGCCACCATCGAAAACGTATTTAAAGACTGGATGATATTTTTAGCTTGTGTAACCTCTGCTGCCGCAGGACGATTAGGCCAAGTTTTTTCAGAGGATTCTGAAATCTCCATAGGATTTAGACAGGTAGTTTCTTCGTCTTCTATTTCATCACCATCATCTTCAACATTAACAGGGATAAAAGAACAATCTTGAAGACTATTTACCCAAGCATTAACTCTGTCCAGATGAGAAGACCCCGAAGAGAATGTAGCCCACTCAGTCTCAGGATCTGTTAGTTTCTTCTGCTGCTCATCAAGCTTTTGGCCAGGATTTTGGAGATTCTTTTGGCTCCGAAGAAAGATTTTCCACTGTATCTTTTTGCTGCGAGAGGGAAGAATCTGGCTTGAAGATCTTCTCTTTAGCACCACACGATCGGCGCTGCAAGATGCCATTACAGATACTGGACTTTCATTTCCTGACATGCAATGGAGGTTGCTGTAAGAACTTAATCCCTTAGGTGAGTTGATCCTTTGCTTAGTTTGCATGGTCTCAAAGTCCGAACATGAGCGCTTAAGCACTGGTGGCTCCGAGGAAGCTGTTAGCTCCATTACAGGGGCAAACATTGTTTCAAAAACAATGCCTTTATCTGTCTCCGTCTTCTCCAAAACACAACTTTTTAAGTCAGTGCTAGATCCATGGGAAGCAAGTTCCCCTTTGGGTTGGAGATTTAAATCAGAGTAATCTCTCTTCATTGATCGAATCTCTCCAAGCTCATCGTCCCCCTCATAAGCAGCAGCTTCAGTAGGCTCAGATTTTTCAAAGCTGTCATCAGTTAGTGCCATAGAAGTAATACATGTTCCTTTCTCTACAGAAGGAAATGGTTTTGAGAGGATTAAAGAGCTGATATTCTCAGGGGAAGGACTGAAAGGATCAATGGGCTTAACCCGAATGTCACCCTTGCTTCTTCCCTTCTTAGTACCATCCCCTTCTTTGAAAAATGCCTGAAAAAGAAGCTTCCCAAATTAGCTTGCAACATGAAAAGGAATGAGAAATAAGAATAATAAAGAACAAAATTGTTGCTTACTTTAGATTTCTTCCTTCTCACAATTGAAAAGGCAGGCAAGCAGGAGAACTTTGCCATAAACTGATTTTCTCAAAGCTTAGTACTGGGCAAAGAATATAAGGTACTGAGGAATTGCAAGCCTTCAGCTTCTCCTACTAATAGCTTGAAGGTAATTAGGAACCTTGCGGTACACGCAGTTGGACTCGCTCTTTCTCAATGTTAACCTCTTTGTGATTAGGATTTGGTCAGATATTGTTTATTGTGGAAAGTTTATTACTTAATTTACTATTGCGAAGCCTATTTTGATCCAGACCAGATTTGTTTGAAATCTTTTTTGGGATGCATTACTCTTGGATTAGTTTGAAGGGGATTTATAATTATATATTAATTTTTAAGGCATTTAGGAATAGCTCTGTCAAAATGGCTCGTTGTTCACGAACAGCTTGTGTGCAGCTTGTTAAGAAGCTCGTGTTTAATTCGTTTGTTAAGTTAGCTTGATATATAAACGAGTCAAACACGAGCAAAGATTTCTTCGTTCGTGTGCGGCTCATTTTGGCTCGAAAAACTACTCATATATATATATATATAGAGAGAGAGAGAGAAACCCATATGTACTTTTATTAATCACAAAAGGAGGCTATAGTTTGTTGGAGTTGTTTTTTTAAGAAAATAAATTGACTACTACAAAGATTTATAATCAATTAAAATTATTAATTAAATATTAAATAAAAAAATATATTAAACAATATTTAAATGATGTTTTAATATAAATAATATGATTTAAATATTACCCCAACTATTAACATCCTAAGTCTTCATGATTAAAGTTGTCAAAATGACTCTTTGTTCGCGAACAATTCGTGAACACGAACACACTTTTTATGTTCAAAATATAAACGAGCTGAACACAATCAACAATATTTTTTAATGAGCCAAACAAGAACTAAGCCTGAGCTCGCTCGGGCTTGGCTCGTTTACACCCCAATTTCAGAACATACCGCACTATTCTTATATATTACATATCTAACAGCTAAACTTAAATTATTTATATAAATAACACTCGAATCTTAGACATCACATCAAAACATTATTATCATTACTTTTTTTTCTTAATTTTAATAGGTATTTTAATATCAAAGTAAATATCGAAGTTTAGGTGTTAGATATTATGTGATACTCATGTAAATTTTCCTGAATTTTATATTTTTATTTATAAGTGATTTTTATACTCAAATCATATCAATAATTAAACTAAAATTTAGTTCAAATTTCAGATGTCTCCAAATGCCTTTTTCCATAGCAAACGATGATATTATTAATAAGACTCAACCACTTGGCTTCACTATCAATTAATTTGTCAATCTTGACTGTAAACTATAAAAAGAAAGTATGAACTCAAGAAGTCATCTCAGCATTGGCATTCCATTTTATTCACTCATTTTCTCAACTACGGCTTCCACATAAACTTGATTGACCCATCTCTCTTAATCTAAAACCACAAGAAAAATTGTCTGTACATTCTAGTATATGTGAATGATTTTCTTCACGCTATCAACCAAGGCACCATCACTGATTTTATTCACAACCTAGGCAAAGATGTCAACATGAAACAATTATAGTCTAACAAACACCTCTTAGATTCTTTCTTTGCCAAATCAAATACCTCCTCCATATTCTTCAAATCTTGGGTATAAAGATTGTAAGTCAAACCTGATCACTCCTATATCATCCAAATATTCTCTTGGTTACCAATTCCAATAACCTCTCATTGGCCCTCAAGAGTACTGGCTTCTACCTGATTCTAAATAATACCTCATTATCACAATACCATACGAGGCCAATTTTATAAGTCAACAAAGTCCACATATGCACCGTTTTCTTTTCTATCATCTCTAACCTCTCAGATGGCTTCTCCATTATCTTAAATGTCCCTCCACCTATAGCCTTCTCATAACCACATTAGATGTAGAGTAGCCTGTAAACTCTTAAGATAAAAAAATCACAACTTGATATTGTTCATTCTTTGGAAAAACTCTTTTCCCATGGATTGCTAAGAAACAACCCATTTTTGGAAGATTCCTAACATAAGTCATGTTTAAAGCTTTCACTTAGGCTACTAATGATGTCTTATGGCTTCATTATCTACTATATGAATTCGAACTCGCCACTAATCATTCTAGCTCCGATTATTGTAAAAGAAGCTCAACGACACCCTTCCCTTCAATCCTATATTCAATACCTAAACAAAATACATCAAAGTTGATTAGCATTTCATTTTCTGAGATCCATAGAAATCAATAATCTTCATCTTATGCCACAATAATCAAATTAACATATCTTCACCAAACCTCCTCTTTCCTCTCGTCATCAACTTTTATGCAACAAGTTTATAATCAACTCTACGTATAGTGAAATTAAGTAGATGTAATAGATTAGTGCATTTAGCTCACTTAAAAAAAAAAGAGTAACAATATGGAAAAACCAGCATAAGGCTAAAATTATACGAACATCGTCTTAGCTATTGATCCATAGTAGCCAATCTTATAATGAAAAATCTCTATAGGGCAAATTGCTTTACTATTTTAATTAGAACTACAATTGAACCGAGCGTTCGACAAGCTACTTATGGCTCAGCTCGATTAATGTTCATTCATTAGTTTTATTATTAATTAATCGAATGAGCTTGAATACTTTCAAAAACACTCGTTTACTAAATAAATAAGCTTGAACAACTTGTTGTTGGTTCATTTATATGAATTAACAATATCATTTAACGAACTTGAACACTCTCATAAATAAGCTCGATTAAAGCTCAATTACATCTCGATTGTAGCTCATTCATAAAAAAACAACATTTAAATATTTATTTTTAAGCTCAAGGAGTATTTTTTAATTCGACACATTTACTTTTCCCAATAAGATGCTGGTATAAAGCTCAAGCAAATTTTGATTAACTCAGTTATGATTGATATTATTTTCTTAAACAAGCTACTCATTAGGAAGTTCGGTAATTAATGTATGAATCTAGCTCGAGTTGAGCTCAAATAACATATTTATAAATGAGCTTGAACACAATTATAGTCTTAAAAGTTTAAATCAAACTCAAGTTGATCTTAAATATGCTCTTAATATAGAAGCTTAGTCACGGACAAAAAGTCCCACATAGGCTAGGTGTAGGGCCGAAAAGTAGTACTTAAGTCCTGGGCTGCCCATCACCCCTAAGATCTCTTTTGGGAGTTGACATTAAGCTCAAACCGACACCTGCACAACATGACTCGATTCATTTGCAGACCCTACTTTTAGCCTTTTTTAGTACTTTGTCATTTATTTAAACAAGACTATAATGCAAATGGACATGTTTGCATTCGTTAAGGATTTTGGAAGGAGCAGAAATGGGAGAAAGATATTGGTTTCAAACAAACCGCCACTTAATTCTAACAAACACTTGTCAAAAGAGATTAATATTAAAATTATTAGAAATTCTAAACTTAAATTGATAAATCAATGTATTAATTAATTTAATAAAAAAAGCAAAGTCATATATAGAATAAATGTTGTAACTAAAAAAACTTTACAGCTTTACAAAGAGATATTACTAATTAATATTAAATTACAGATTTTATTTGCTTAATTTAATTAAATTAAAATTAATTTTCTATTAATCTAGTATATTAGTTATTAAAGTTTAATAATCGATATTTTATCTTATGCTAATTATAATTTAATTAAATTATTAGAATTGATATTGTCTAAATAAAAATTAAGTTAATTAAATTAATATTTCCTCACATAATTGCCAAATATAAATTGATATTTATGAAGTAAAAAACTATATTTAATAATTAATTGATAAATTATTTTACCTTAATTAATGAATAATAAACTTCTAATTGTTTGTTAATTCAACTAGAAATAACATATATTACAATCAAGTAAAAACTACTTTGATTATTGCATCTCCAATATTTAATATTAAAAGGCTATTTAAACTAATTTACATTAATAAAATTAAATATTCAAATAAATTATTAAAGTGTTATATGATTTCACTGAATTAAATAAATTTTAAATACTACTAAATTAGAAATAAAATGAAATCTGATTCTTACTCAATACTTCACATTTTTTTTGTCTTCTCTCTCTGTTTTCTTTATGGCTTTCATGTTCTATATGGAATCAGAGATCAATTGCTCCATGACATAAACAGCTGTAGCAAAACAATTATTCTCCTCACTCAATCGATCATGGCTTAATTTTCTTCATCAGCAACACATACAAGTTTCGAAGGTTCCACTCAAATCTTTCTTTCCACCTCCCTCAAATTTTTTATGTCTAACCTCAATAACATAGTTCAAACATAACTCACCTTAGAGAATTATCCGACTCGGAGGTCTCAAATCATCAAACTAGTAAGAACAAATCGATTTGAGGGATACATCAACGGTTTGATATTTCAACCTGCTAACCAAAAATACACAGAAGATGGAAATATATCAACAAACTATAATTTCAACTGTGGACACTCATAGATCAGAGTCTTGCTGCAACAATATACTCAACTATCTCATCTGCATTACTTCCATGTGTAATTGGAATCTTTAGCATTAGTGTGGTAAACTCTTGAACTCAGACTTCAATTTGCAATTATATCATGTATCGTACACTAAAGAATGATCTTCATAATATTACAATGAAGGATATCAACATGTCATAATACCTATCCAACATCAAAGCAGTAGTTGATGGTATAACAGCGGCAGGACCAACAGTTGATACTGAATATGTCATACTATATACTCTTAATGGATTACCGCCAATTTATCAAGCTTTGAGGACTACAATTCATCTAAATTTACAACTCATAAGTTTAGATGATCTCCATTCCCTATTATGCATGTTTTTATTAATTTTCTCTCTTTATTTTTGAAAGAGTCGCCAATTTTTCTATCATCGTATGATTCCCTTTTCCGAGTAAATTTCTCTTCCATATCATATCGATGATCCGAAGAAGGAAGGAATCAGAAGGTAAGGACATACACCAATGAAGACAAATGAGAGAGAACATGGAGAACTTCTGTGCGGCAAATCTCGCAAGGATAGCTTAAACATTTACATCCGAACATGAACAAATTGAAACAACTTGTGCCAAATATTTGTGAAAAATGCCAATGAAAGCCACCCACAAATAGA